TGGAGGATTTAGAAATTTTGCCTCAGCCAGTGTACAGTTCTGAATGCACTGCCTTGCAAACCTTGCACAGCCAGACGTGACTATAGCACCAGAAGTGACTCCATGGGAGTACCCTCACTGATTCACATTTACCCTGCAGTCTGGACAACCTACTAGCAAATATGTCACCCAAAGTTCCGCTGTCATGGTCTTTCTCACTGGAAGTAGTAACTAGTGATTCAGAAGTGTTCTCACCTCTGAGTTTGGTGTTAGGAGAATCAACGCTGAGGAGTCTTCCTGCTGTCCTTCTTTCATACACTGTCACTTCAAGGCAGAAGCCTTAAGAATTGTTCAAGTGTAACCAGGCTTTACATGTGTTTTGCTAGAGTAGTTGTTGGGGAAAGACTTTGTACAATGAAAAACATTCTCAACTTAAAAGTCACATCAGATTTTTTAATAATAAAAGTAGTCACACACAAAAATAAATTGTTCACATTTTTAAAAAAATGTAGCTTTCAAATCCACTTGAAATTTTCTGTTATAACAGGTATTGTGTCAGAAAGTCTCACACTGTTATGAGCCCTCCTTGACTCCTTTTTAACATGCTTATCACAAGTTTAATCAATGTAAGTTTAGCACGAACTTAGTATTTGTGAGGTTTGGAAATACATTTAACTACCTCCTGCTGAGTAGTGCCACTTGTAATTCTTACCATCACCTCAGATCCCATCAGACTGCCATCCTCAGACTACCGTCAACCACATGGTCCCCTGAAACTACCTCTGCATCCTGCTGTCCACCTATTTTTCTTTCTTCCTTTCCTTCTTTTCCTTCCTTTCCCTCCTTTCTTTCTTTTCTACTGTAGAATCACTCTACTCTTCCTCTTCTACCGTACCTCTAGTCAGCCTCCAGCTCATTTACTCATTTAGTAAATAACTGAGTGCCTTCTTTGCCCCAGAGTATTAAAAGTAGCTGCAGGGTTACTGCCTTCCTGAAACTTAAAGCTCTGTCCATTCTTACTCCACAATGTGTTTCAAATCTGCCTTTTTCTTGTTCCACATCAGAATCACAGGAATTTCCTAATTGGCCTCCTTATTCTACTTCATCTTACATAATGTCCACCAAATTAATCTTCCCCAAATATTTCTTATAAACCTTCATTGGTTTTAATTCTTTAGTAATGAAAATGTATTACTTTTGTATAATTTGAACATCTACAGACTACTTTCACAGGCACTCACAATTTCCTCATATTGTATGTAGTTATAGTAACATTCCCACTTTTCAGATGAAAGACAGCTGGTAAGTGACAGAGCCAGGACTCACACTCAGCTTCCCCAGAGCCCAGCCTTCTTTCTACTGTCATCAAACCTTTGTGGCCAGGCCTTCAAGACCCTCTAAAGTCTGGCTCTGGCCTATCTTGCTATACTGTTTTTTCACTTTCTCTGTACACACCTTCCACTGTGACCAAACTTATTAATCCTTGAATATGGATTTTCTGCTGCTGCTTGTTGGAATATGTTTTGCAAAAGCAGTATATTTTTTAGCACTATTCAGCAATTTTGGGGGAAAGAGTCTGTACAATCAAAGATACCGTCACCTCAAAGTCAAAGTTGATTTATTTTCTAATAAAAGTAGTCACACAAAAAATAAATTGCTAACATTTGTTTGTAACTCATTCTTTAACTTGTATGTTTGGGGCCTGTTTTCATTTAGCGAAATCATGGTTTTATTGTAAGTTTTAAATCTGCTTTTCTAACCTACACTTTTTACTAACTTGATTTTTTTTTCCTCTTTTTAACTCCTAGGCTGCTAGTGCTCCTCAGCTTTCACCCCTGCCTCTCCCTGCCCTTCTTTCATCCCTCCCTTTCCTTCTTCCCCACTTCTCTCCTTCTCCTCTGCCATCCTCCCATTTTTCTATGTGGAGTTTGCATATGATTTCTTATTTTTATTTACATACCTGTTTAGTCACTCTAACTAGATTAAATGTTTCTTGATGTTAAGATTCTGATTTTTATAGTTTTAAATA